AGCACCGACGGGCCCGGCCCCCATAAACTCCCGCATCCATCCGCCTCCCAAAGTAGTCCCAAGTAAAAGACCACTGTTGTGAAAAATACTCGCCTTTCTCCCTCTCCACTCTCCCTTCCCGGGGGCAAAGGGGTCCTGGAATCTTACTGTGGGATCTGAGACCCCTAAAAATCTGGAAATTTCTGAGGGCGCGGATGGATCTTGAGGTGCGGTGCAGGGGTTAGTAGAAAGAACGGGAAGTTCGGCATTGATTGGTGCAGCCGTAAGAAGGGTGGGTGGTGATTGGCTGAGCCGGGGGGAAGCTAGAAGAGGGCGGGGGGGGGGGGGGCGGTAAGGAAAGCTCTGGAAGATTCGGGTGCTGCTCGGCGCTGATTGGTGCGCGGTGAGGTCAGCGCTGTTGCTAGGGGGGAGCCGCCTTGCAGAGGCAGATTTCGGCGAGGAGGGGGCGGGCGAGGGAGCGGCACCCAGAGCCCTGAGGGGATGGAGCTGGAAATGGGGTTGTGCTACTGGGGCGCTTTTTTTAGCCCCCGTGTCTCAGCCCTAGGCAATGCTGAGGGAAGAGCCTGGCACAAAGTGGGGGAAAAGCACCCCGGAGAAAGAGGGGTTACCCTTGGCCCCAGCTTTTTGTTGACCCACAGAGATAACCAGCGCATCTGCCCGACCCCCTTCCCTGGGGTGGCATAAGCGTTTATGGCAGAACCTGGAACAGGCTGTAGGGCTAGTCTTGTCATCTGTGGCTGTGAGGAAAAGCCAGAAGGAGCAGAAGAGTTAGCAAAACTGGAAAAAGATGTTTTAGAAATGTGGCAAATGTTGGTGACTCCTGGTGTGTCACGCTCACTACAGGGTGAGCGTGCCCCTCGTCACGCAGACCATTTCCTGAGCAGCCCTTTGAACCAATTTCAGCCGGCTGACAATTTAATTCTTTAGTGTGAGGTTGTAAAACAACCCCTGTGATGCAGTGCTGACATTTGAAATTCAAATGGCTGTTTACTTGCCTTCAGAACAGGAAGCTTTGATCAGGTTATGGAGCAACTTCCTTCTGTGAACTGAACATGTGGAAATGTGCTTCGTGTTAATTAAGCTTCATTATGCCTTTCAGGCTGTCTCTTAACTCATTTTATATCATACTATATCTAGAGTACACAAACTCCAGAAAGGTTTTTATCTGGTAGTGTTTTATCTGCTGCTAGCCCCCTCAGTGAAGCCAGATGAACGTGCTCTTAGCATGAGCACACATGTGAATGGCAGGATTCAGTGCAGAGCTACTCTTTCCCCTTAAAAAAAGAGACAAAAAATCAAAACCACCAAAAAAACCCAACCGTAACAAAACCCTTTTGCTTTCCTTTCTCCTAACAGGGCTTGTGTCTGCTAGCACCTCCTTGTTTACAGTGAGAAGGAAATAAATCACCCCAACAATAATTGTTCACGATGTAAAACAGGAAGAGAGGAAAATGGTAACTGGAAAGTTCAGAGACAGCTCCATGGCAATAACCAACCTTGGAAACATTACTTGGCTACATAAATTTAGGACAAAAGGCAGATTTAGGCAATATCACAGTTGTTTTCTTTATGCTGCCGATTTTGCTCAGTGTTTCCAGTAGGTTCGTTTTGTTTGCATGGTGCCAGGGTGACTAAATGTTTGCTCCAAGGCTGGCCTGTATGCGCTGTATATCCCAGGCACTGCTCCAGGAACTGTGTCCCTCAGCCAAACAGTTTCATGGAGCCCTGAGAGGAAGGCCACGAGTAACTAATATTTGCAAATGTGAAGAGGCCACATCTGTTAAGTTGGAGATTAACCACAGGCTAATCTGGTTAGACTGGCCTGTGTTTGAGCACATCAAACTTGTATTAAGGATTTTAGTGTGAATGTCTTTGTTTTTTAATATCCCTCTAGATGGAGGAGAAATTTCTGTCTTTTTTTTCCTTTCTGTATAAACCAGAAAACACAGGAGCCCTCCCTTGTTTTTTTTCTAAGTATGGCTAGATCCTATGACTAATCTGCTTTCGCTGTTGTTGTTCGGTTTCTGTTTAAGTATTCAAATCAACAGATCAGAATAAAGTCCCAACAAAATGGGTCTACCATGGGTAGTTCTTTAAATACCTTGTTAATAATGGCTCCTGAAAAATTCATTCTTCAGGGAAGTGACATTACCCAAAAAGCAAGCGCAGGCAGGAACATGCTGACATCAAATGCAGACTCTATTTTAAAAACGATTACGGATTAAATTCATCAGTTCCATGCAAAAACCCTCATTATTTTCCTCACTTACCCCTCTGTCAAAAGAGATAAACAAAAGAGTTAGGCTTTGTGCACACAACTCCAGGGCCTAGCAGAATTAAACTAATCTCCATAGCCTCTGGGCAAAGTACTCTACACAGACCACCATTAGCATTTTGTAGCCTCCACTGATCGGATTCATTTAATTCTCCTAACTATTCATCTGCCATCTACATGCCTGTACTGAGCCCACCTCTTTTGTTTTGGGGGCGTGGGCTGAATACAGAGAGCTTCTTAAATACCTCTTTTCCTGTCCCTTGGCTTTTTCTGTGTGGTAAACTCGTGCCCTGCATGTTACACACTTCATATCTGCATAGATTCTTTATACTACTTCATTTCTATTTGATAATTATTATTGAGTTGAAAGGTTATTCTGACTTTTTAAAGTCAGAATGCAGTGTTTATATATTGCAGGCCAGATTCTGCCTCATTTTCACACATTATGTGCACAGAACAATCTCCCAAGCTGGAGGTGATGGCCTTGTGACTTAATTTTACTGAATTTCAGCTTTACCTCGGAATTTCTTTAGAAAATATTTTACTACCTGAATCTGATACAGACAAAAGAGATCTGTTCATTCTTAAATGGTGCGGTAACTGTTGTGGTTGTACAAAGCGTATCTATTTAACGTACATGTCACTCTTTCTCCAGTAGCTCTTGGTGAATAAGAATCATCAAGCAGCTGACTGTGAACTGTATATAAATAAATGCAAAGCTGAAAAAACAGAAATCTGTATCTTGTGACTGGCCTGACTGCACAGGTGGTTCCAGCCTTTGCCAGGGCACGGGGCCTGCAGTTGGGAACACCTATTTCTTTCCAAGTGGTTTCAAAAGTAGGTCATTGGGCAGTAGTACAAAGCAGCCTACTTTCAGAAGAGAAGAATCTGGGGTCAAAGAAACGTTTCCAACGAAACTGTACATTCTAGAACACAAGCTGGGTCTGTTTTTTTATGCACACCAGTGTCCCAGCAACAGCATATCATTTCTACATGAGCAATGTCAAATAAAGCAATCTGTTTATCTTTAGTTACAAGGGTTTAACTTGGGACAGCCAGCCTGTCAGGCGATTTGAGTATGCGTAGCAAGTTCAGTACTGTTCCTTTGTTCAGATAAAAATAGGGCTACTTGCCACAGGGAAAAAACAATGTATATTCCTATCTCATGATTACTCATACCTACCTCAGGTTTCTCTCACTGTGTATGACACAAGATAATTATATTTACCTATTTACAGTTGTGGAGATAAACATTTTCTCCTCAAAACTGTAACACTGCAGTAAGGCCCAGCCTTTGCTGAAGTTCCAGCCATAAGACAAATAGAGCTGGGGCATGTTATTGCTTGTCCTTGTACTGCCAAGCTCAAGGGTTACAAAAACAGTCACAATTCAAAGTACTGTGAGATTGACTGTAATATTATGAGATTACCAAAAAAAGACAACTATCTGAGTTTTGTTTTTTAACCCTTGTGCTAAAAATACCTTAAATAAACAAAGTTTTTGATAAGCTACCAACTTCAGAGGCTGAAAGCTTAAGAAAACCAAACAGTCAGATTTGTAGTAAAAAGAGGAAAATAAGCAATACTCTTCTGTCTCCCTGTTTGTTTAAAGCGTATTTTGACTTCGCAGGACACATGGGATACAGCTTTAAGATCTGTGCTGCCACGATAAACAAGCTTGGGCATGTCTTTCTCTGTAGGTCTAAATGACCCAGAGGAACATGTGGCAATTCACTATGTGTCTGATGTAAGCAGACTTCTAAAGGGTATTTTATAAAGACGCCCTCAGCCTAAAATCACAGGTTTGTGTCTGCATGCTGTGCCAGTGAAAGCAACAGTTAATAACTAGGTTTATTCTAAAAATTACTTGTCTGTATTTTTGCAGTCTGCCTCTTGCTTGTGAGTCTTTTGGATCTGATCCAAGCTGCACTGCAGTGAAGGAGCTCTCTTTGTTCACGTTCTCTCTGCTGCGTCTGAGCCGATTTAGCATGTGGTTTCTGGGGTGAGGTTTTTCAGCAGG